TCAGTTCCATCTTCTTCTTTGGGGATTATGGGTATGGACAGGGAAACCTAGGACCTAATTTCTAGAAAAGGCTGAGATTTTGGAATCTTTCTCCAAAGGAAGCAAACCACCACCAAGATGCTAATGCACTTTAAAATGACTCAATGTACTTTTTTTCCCCCAGCAATGGGAATTAAACCCAAGCCCTTTGCACTGAATTACCTCCTTATACTTTTTTACTTTTTATTTTGAGATGGAATCTCATTAAGCCCAGGCTGGGCTCAGACTTGTGATCCTTTTGCCTCAACCTCCCTGATTGCTGGAATTATAGGTGCCAATGTAATTTAATTCCTTCCATTATGCCCATCAACTCAATATACACAAACGAAATATTTTACGTTCTCCACACCTAGCTCACACATCAAACATGTATATATGTTTCAATACTTTGTCGTGAATAAGTAGAAAGCTGGGAGTAGGAAGAAAAAAGGGACAAATTATTTTTCCTCTAAAACAAAGTTGGGATAGGTAACAACATGAACTTTAACATAAAAATTATGTGACTGTAAAATGCAGAGAATGAAGGAAATAACAATGACATAATGACATGTTTATTCAGCGGAAGATAGAGTCAGATAAATGCATCAAAATATGGTGTTGCTGGCATTAAATATACTGTATTTTTACTAACAAGTATAGTTAAACTGATTTTGCAAACTCTGGGCATATATGTAGGGTGTCACCACTCACTCTACAGAACAAAAGAAGCTGGTCTGGGGGCTGTGACACCCTACTGCTGTGGTTACGTTGCAGGCAGCAATGGAGGGGCACAATGGCAGCACCATCACTGACTCTCTGAAAGCTATTTGCTTTTTTGGGGGGTACGAGGGATTGAACTCGGGACCTTGCGCTTGTGAGGCAGGTGGCAGCACCACTGATCTAAATCCCTAGTCCCTTTGCTTTTGATCTAACTACAAATATAATTCACAAATATGAATGCTACAAATATAAAACGATTGGGTACAGACATGTTTCTTATCAAAACAAGATATGAAATCAGTATGTCTCGGCTTTATCCCCTTCTGTGCTTTCCAGAAACTGCCATTTATTAATCTTCATCATCAGCCATGTCCATAGCCATATAAAAAGCAGATTCCCTGGTCCTACATCAAATACACAGAATTAAATCCCAGGGCTGGAAATCTATACCCAGTTGGATCTCTATCCATAGTAAATTGCTGGTGCTTGAACTAACAGGATGCAACAGCTATAATTGGAGGGATGTACTTTCCACAATAAGATTAACATATAAAAATGAGTCATAAAGATAAGGCTTTGTGTGTAGATGCAGAGTACCTATAAATTTACATAACTATGCAAGGTTGTGAGGGGAAGGGAGTCAACATTTATAAACTGCTAACAAATGATCACTACAGCTCCTGACCAAATGATTTATCATTCAATCATCAAAATAAACCTGAATAAACTATGGTGGAAAAAGTTAGGACTTCAGAGTAACTTCCACAGTCACAGGCCTGGAAGAAGGCCCAGCCAGGTTATGAAACCAGATTTATCTGACCCTCGTCTCCTCATTCCATTGTACTAACGTCAGTAGAGACAGACACACATCACACAATAGCCATACGGTAAAAGGGCTCTTTTTGCACCACAGAACCATATTGGTTCTTGTTAGTTTTTGGTATTGGGTATTTAACCAGGGCCTTTCCACTGAGCTATGTCCTTAGCCCTTTTAAAATTTTTAATTTTGAGACAGGGTCAGTTAGTTACTAAATTGCCCAGATTGGGCTTGAGTTTATAACCCTTTAGCCTCAGTCTCCCAGAGTGCTGGGATCACAGACAGGCATGGACCACCACACCCAGCGAGAAACGTTTTCAAAACACTCATTCTTGGTCTATTTGCTGACAGCGGAGTACAACCACATTTAATAGCTGGAATTTTAGCAATCAGAAGTGTGTTTTGGAGGCATGCTAGGGTCCAGCTGAACAAGGATTCTTTCTGTGAGCAACCTACAAACTTATGCAAATAAAATGACTTATTTTGCACGTCATATTACCTTACAAAGGGAAACAATAAGAAATGTATAATCTAGCACAGTGGCGGTGAATCTATGGCACGCATGCCACAGCTGGCTGTCTGTTACCATTAAAAGTTCTAAAAGGTTCGCCATCACTGAACTAGCCTTTGTCAATGCAAAGGGCTTCCTGGGTCCACCCCTCCCCTCTAGGGCTGAGGTGCCAGGCCCCTTCCACTGGGGACCTTGTCCTGTGGGCTCTGGACTTACGACCCTCTGGGGTTCTTCCTTGCTCTGTTAGACTTCTCTCAGCTTCATAGATGCTTCTTTCTTTTCTCAAGCTCCACCCTCAGTCTTTTTCTCCCTATACTCTCTAGTGGAAAATCCCTCTCTTACTTCTTAACCTTTTCTTCCACACCAATGACTTCCAAACTAGCCCTGGTCCTCCTGTAGAGCCCAGGCCCCCATCTTTCCAGGAGAGCCTGATTCAACACATCAAATCTAGCCCCCACCCGGCCAAGTTTCCTCCATGGCACTGAGGCTCTGGAAAGCTCCGAGTCAGCATTGGCTGCTTTTCGTCTATAGAGAAACTTGATTCTGTCAGTTCTTTCCTTGGCTCTGCACCTTCCTGTTTCATGATCCATTATCCCAAATGGCTTATCATTCACTCTGGGTCTTCCCTTCCCATCCTCTTTTCCTTGGAGGATTGTAATGCCTTCGAACTAGTCTCCCTGCCTATCCTCCCACACTCCCCAAACTACCTTTTCAGGAGAGCATGTTTCTAAGGCACAGGCACGGTACTCCCCTGCTCAAACAGCTTTAACCTGTTGGTTAATAACATTCAGATGTCTAGTTGGCACTCAAAACCATTGCTGTTCAGCACTGACTGTCCCCTCCACCGTGTCACCTGTATAGATTAGTTCTGACTCAACTAGACTCAATTTTCTGTAAACTGTACTTTTCTGTGAATATATGCCATTCTCAGTCTCCTCCTATTCCTATTTCAAACACTTCCTCAAATTATCAGAATACCTACTTTTTACATTTATCAGTTATTTCTGTATTGCTTTTAACCGCATAACACAGTCTACGATGGAGTGGATGATGATGTTTTGCTGCTGGATCTCCTTTTTCACTAGCACAGTTTCAAATTTACAGTAGACTCTCAATAAATATTTGCTGTATAGCATTTATAGAACACCCCAAAGTTTACAAAGCAAGTTCACACTGAACATCTCATTTCTTTTTATTCGGGGCTTAAGTTATTACAATCTGATTTCTGTTGCTTAATGCACACGTTGAAGCTCTCTGTAACCTATCCTATAAATCAAACAAAATATTTACTGTATTTAATTGCTTTACTTTTGAATACCCAAAGTCCTCTGGCCTACAAAGGTAAAAGAGAACATTGCAAATTAAAATTGCCAACCAGCTTTTCCTCTGACTGTGGATAAGGATACAAGCAAAAAGGCCTTCATAAACAAGTGACAGTAATGAAAAATTAAGAGAAAGAGGTCGCTGGGGATTTACCTCAGTGGCACTGCATCTGCCTCACAAGTGCAAGGACCTGAGTTCAATCCCCGGTACAAAAAAAAAAAAAGGTGAGAAATTCCTTTCTAAAAATTTTAAGATTTTAAAAATTCTATGTAACCCTAAATGCAAGTCAATCTCTAACATCTTGAAGCTGATATTCCAGCATGTTAATAATAGAAAATCACTAATAACTGAATAAATCCTCTTTATTAAGAGACTGGACATGCCTAATATCATAATTATAAAGATATAATAATCTGTTTGCTTTGTAGGAGCTCAATAAACATTTGCTAAGTGAAAAATGAATTCAGAGAAGTCATTACTACTGTTTATAAATTGAAAGTGTAAGTTTATGGATGTATAAATTTTTGGATGTATAAGTTTATGAAAGTATAAGTTTATGGAAGAAATATATATATATATTTTCGGCGGGGAATATCGAACTCAGGCCCTTGTGCTTGGCAGGCAGGCGGCGGAATCACTGAGCCAAATCCCTGGCCCAGAAATATGTTAAAGTGGATTAAAATGAAAAATTGAAACGAGAAGCAAGAACTTTTATATGTTTATTCCTGTGATAGATGCTAGGCCACAACTGCTGGAGAAACAGTCAAAGGAGAAGAGGTGAACAGCAGGCATGGCCCATCAGACCATACCTCTCTGGAGTTTAGGTTGCAAGCTCTTCAAGGGCAGGCACTTTGCTTTGAACTTTTGGTACTAACACTGTGCTTTGCAAATAAAATGCCATCTATACACGGAGCATGAGATGCAAAGCCATCTATAACCTGCTTCCATTTTCACATTTCAACCTTTAACGACTCTTCTTCCTTACCTCTTAGGGATGTTGTGAGGAGTAAATAAAAATAACTGCACTGAAAACCTCTGGCACACAAACATACATAAATGCTTGACAAATGATAGTTGTTAACTGTCACCATCTGGGAAGAGCTTATTGTGCTAGGCTACTGGCCTTGTCTGTAAGAACCTCAAGTGTCTCAGGGTGGGTTCTTTACATTTGTGGAACAGTGTTCACCCCTCAGCAAGTGGGGAAGAAACTGTCTGTGTGATTAAGCAACAGAAGACCCATGTTTCCATCCTGTCTGGAAAAGTCACTGAAAGTGTCTGGGCCTCCATCATGTCTGTGGGCTCTTCCAGCCTGGAAAAGCCACAGAACTATGAAGCGGTATATAAATGTTCCCATGATTGCTGCCTGCAGAACTAGAATGAGAAACCAGTTTTCCCGAAGTCCTGTTCCCTAGTTCCCCTTCACATAGGGGCTGCACATATCACGTCTCCCCAATAAACAGATAGCTTGAGAGTCATGGAAACTGTAATCCCCAAACCCGGTGGAGTATGCTCATGAGTCACAGACCCTTTGGGAGGGCCCCAGTCCCTCAAAAACAACCATTTCCTATTTTACGTAGACTAAAGAGAGATTAAAGGAGAATATTTAAATACCTCAGTTAGACCAGACCAGCCTTAACCAAGTTAATTTCCCGTGCTTTGGAAGAAATCACTTGGAAATCCTTGGTTTGGAGTCATCCATCTCTTCCACATCAAGATCTGCAAAAAGAAAAAAAGGGCAAGTCCCATGACTAGTTGCCAGGATTGGAAATTTCAGCAACAACAGTAATTCCAATTAGCACACATCAAACACCTACTGAAAGTCAAGGACTGCATGGGATGATCGACATATGTGGCCTTGGGTAATCTTCACAATACCTCTCCAGTGCTCAGGTACAATTGATTGCAAAGCCTGGACTACTCACCAGTCAGGGTTCTACAAGTTTTTTGACAGTAAATCATTGTTTTGAAAGGTTACATTATATGAACTAAAAACCAAAAGTTTCACTAAACGACGCTTACCTCTACTATGTGCAATGCATGCTATTTTAGTTTTATTCTTTTGTACTGTATTATATATTCTAAACGTTAAAAACAATTTTTTTTCCTCCTAAGTGGATTGTGGAGGACTGTGCATGTATCCCAGCACTCTTCGAGGCTGAGGCATGAAGCTTGCAAGTTTGAGCCTAGTCTGGGCAACTGAGTACCTGTCTCACAAACAAACAAACAAACAAATAAATAAGTAAAAAACTACAGAAAATTCCAGATAACCCACCCACTATATGGATTCCACAATCTCCTAACGGGTCCTCAGTCTCGGAAAAATAGTGCATTTAGAAGTTTCTCTGAAACTACGACCCCTCCATTTTTTTCAGCCATGAGAATTTGCGTATCCCAATAAGTCTTTACCTTTAAAACACGTATAAGGCAATATACCACCTATCATCTATAATGAATCCTTAGAAGGGATATTTACCCAATTAGGGCCAAAGTCTGGAATGGAATGGAATTGGACACTTACCTAAAGCAGAACGGGTTATAAAGAGGAACCGTGGTCAGACTAAACTCTCAGGTGATTTTAGTATATGTGCGGCCGAAGCGAGCACAACTCTTAGGTGATTTATTAGATACCCTGAGAAGTGTCTAACAGCGGGCAGTTGTGTTGTATCAACAGCAGACCTAACTACTATAGAGTAGGAGGCTGAGATTGCAAACCCCTGGGGGCAGGGCCCTGCCTCTGCAAGTCCTGCTTAATTCCAGGGACTTGGTGTTGCACCAGGAAATCATCAAGTTCCGGTAGGGTCAGGGCCGGGGTCTGGCTCCCGATGTGGGCGAGGGGAGGTGCGAGGGTCCGCGCAGTTCTCGATCCTGCTGGATCCGCGCCCACCTCGACCCGGCCCCTTGCCCTCCGGTACAGCACCGCAGCTGGACCCCGAGGTG